AGATGTGTTGAGAAAGGGCAAAAGTTCTCCGGGATGAAGAGCCATGATTGTCATGTCTTTATGCAGCGACTATTTCCCTTTGCATTTGCAGAGTTACTACTGGCAAATGTACATGAAGCACTTTCAGGTAATTGATATAATACGACGCAAACATTAGTTTATTTCTTTATATATATAAAACCCTAGTAACAGAAAACGCGGACATAATTGTTTCCTCGTAAAGTCCTAGTAACAGTGTTACAAGGACTTTACAAGGAAACCTAAACGCGGGCATAGCTGTTTCCTCGTAAAGGCCTCGTAACCCTAAACGCGGGCATAGCTATTTCCTCGTAAAATTACTAGGACCTTATGAGGAAACAAAATTCCCTATATAAACTCGAGCCATCCGATTTCTCTCATTTGTAGCAATCTTTTCTCTAAATCCTCTTGAGGTTCTCTCTATTTCCAAGTTAGGTGATTAGATTAGGGAATTTAAATTAGGTGGTTAGTTTAAGGAATTTAGATTAGGTGGTTATTTTAGGGAATTTAGATTACGTTAACTTAGTTTTTTTAAATGTTTTTAAATGATACTAGTATATTAATGTTTTAATTTTTTTTTTTGAAACTTAGATGACTAGAAAGAGCAAGCTTGATAGGGCTAAGAGGCCTCTTCAGGGGAGTCATTACGGAGATATTTTTGGTCGTCAACCTGGTCCTCACATAGGCGTATCATCTTCTTCAGCTCCCGGTTCTTCCATTCTGGATGACGTTGTTCCAGAGACTCAGGGAGTTTCTACGGCTCCCCGGTTTGATCCACCACCTCCTCCTCCTCCACTTCCTCCTCCTCCTCCACCGGTCGTTGGGGTTCATCCTGATTCGGAGGTGCCGCCAAACGCTCTATTTGCGGTGTACACGGTCGAGGATATTATTGCAGCTCCAGGCAGAGAAGGACTACCTAAGTTAGATTCCGTCCGACGAGACAACCGCAACATATTATGGTATGTTTAAATTTTTAAAAAGTATTTTTAATTTATTTATTAATTAACCAAAAATTAACAAATTAATGTTTTTTTTTGTTTTTTTTTCCAGGTTTAGTGTTGACGGATGTGTCGCTCAGAGCGTCACCGATTGTATCAAGGGATACGTTCATGATGCAGCTCCAAAGTGGAAAAAGACGCCCAGCCACACCAAAAAGACGTGGTTCAAACCGTTCGCTGTAAGTCATTAGTTAATAAACTTAATTTTTTTATTATTTAAAAATTTTAATATTATTGAACTAATTACTCTAATTTTTTCTAGTTACAGCAAAAATATCGTTGGTCTATAGGGATTCACCAGCGGGTGAAGATGGAGTTTGAGGCGAAGGCAAAAGCGCGATTGCACGACATGATCTACAACTGGGAGGGGGGATTTTCAGGTGTGGATTTATAAATTTTATATATATAGTTTTATATCATTGACTTCAAATCATTTTAAAATTATTTTTTGTTCGGGTGGATAGTTACGAGGACGGGAAACCTGATTGCCTCACATTCGAAGTGTGGGATGGCCTTATCAGATATTGGGGGTTGCCGGACTCGGTCAGAACCTCCCACACAAACTCTAAGAACCGCATGACAAGAGACGAGCATGGAAACACGAAGATGCTTCACACCGGGGTCGAAAACCTCACGCGCGAATCCGTCTTGACATGGTATGTAAACTAATTAATATTTAATTTTAAAAATTATTTTTAGGCTAAAGAGACAGGAGTTCTTCCATCTCTGAAAGAGCTTTACGAGAGGACCCACCGGAACAAGGTTGGGCATTTTGTAGATCATAGATCCGAGCGGATCTACAATGAGGTTGTTGTTCAGGTTGACCAACGCCAGACCCAGCTAACTCAGCAGTCTGGGACACCAGTCATATAATCCACTCCTGACGTGGATAAGATTTACGAGGAGGTAAATAATTTTTTTTTCTATTAATTTTTATTATTTATTTAATTTATTTTTGTAACGTCATTAATCTTTTTATTTAAAGGTCGCCCTTAGGAAAAAGGGACGTATCGTCGGGATTGGTTCCGTTAATGATGTCCCCATAGCGACATCGTCTTATGCTCAGGAACAACACAATGTCACTGCTCAGCTGCGCTCGGAGTTGCACGCGACGCAATCTCATGTGAGTTATCTCTCTGATATTCTGGACGTTTTGGCGGTTGGAAACCCGCAATTGGAGGAGATGTTGCGTGTGAGACGGGAAAACGGAGGGCTTCCAACCCAACAGCATGCACCGTCACAGTTACAACCGACGACCAACATTGACGAGGAGGAGTTAGCGAGCCGGGACGACTTCGTTCGGCAATTTAACAGCACCATCCGTAGTTTTTTTTATTTTTAATTGTATATTATGAATTTAAAACTTAAATATTTAGTTATTTATAAAATATTTAGTTATTTCTTTTTTTATTTATAATTTGGTTTCTTTAATTTTTTAAAAATATATTATTTATATTTATGTTAATTAATATTTTTTAATAGGGAAAAAATATTTCGAAGAAAATTCCTCGTAATCTTTTCGAAGTAAAGTCCTAGTAAACTTTCGAAGTAAATTCCTCGTAAAGCATTACGACGAGCTTACGAGGAAATATGTTACTATGCCTTTACGAGGAAAAGTGTACGAGGACGTTACGACGAAATACGTATCCACGCTTTTACGACAAAATGTTTCCTCGTAAATTAACTAGGAACTTACGAAGAAAAAAACTTTACGATGAACGTCTTACGAGAAAACACGTTTCTTCGTAAGTTCTTAGTAAATAGCCCTTTACTAGGAAATTATGAGGCAAAGTGCTCCTAGTAAAGTTTGGGTTTTCTTGTAGTGCTACATCTATTTGAAAGATATATTTTGGAAGCATCTGTTGGATTGCATTGGAAGCCGCTAACCTTTTATAAATGTGTAAACAACACAAAAAGTTTGTGTTGAATTATGTCTGAGTTAATAAAATGACTTCTTGAGAATGATAAATTGGTGGTAACATTGTATGCTACTTCAAGTGAATTTTAGTTAACGCATCAAACATTTACTACAAAACTGAATAAAATTTGTTCGTATAGTTAAATTTGAAACATGAACATTTTGTTGTTTTTGTTTTTGTATTACCATCGTGATTTAGATTTGAAAAAGTAAGAAAGACTATTATCGTGGATCTCTGATTTATATGACTGATTTTTTATTTATATATATTAAATATATTAACATAATCAAATTTATTAATTATGTTTTATTTTTTAAAAAAAATATGATGTATTTGACTATTTTCTAATTCATGATGTAATTTTGTGTACTTTTCGATTTATTCACACATATAAATTTTTAAAAAATATTAATAACAATTTATAGTTATTTACAATATATATATATATTTAAATATTGCAATTATTCAAATTAGATGTTTAAATGAGGTGATGATATATGTATGAAGATTATATGATTTAATATTTGTAAAAACAACAAAAATACAAATAAAAAACAATTCTTATAGGACTTCAAAGACATTCAACAAATAATAATATAATAAGTATCATTTTTTTCTCTTAGAAAAAAACTCTATTTTTTTATATAGGATTTTTTTCTCTCCATTAAAATCATTTTATTTTTCCATTTCTTCTCTTCTTCTTCTCCTTCATTCTACCATCATGAGATCAATCAGACACAATCATTCAATAACAATTCCTTTTTCTCAACACAATTTCTGATGAAATCGTCTCGTTCTCTCCATGGAGATACACATAATCACATATATGATAATTTGCCAACTAACATAAATTGTTAATCTGAATCATTTATGGATCTTCTCGCACACTGCCCCATAAATTTGAACTTTTAGAATTTCATTTAATTGGTTTCGAAGATCAAAATAAACTGATTATTTGGATATTTTATATGTTAGCTGATATTTAGTTTTATATTTGTTGGCTATTTGATCAGTTGATGGTTGCTATTTGCATGAAAACTAAATTTAAAATATAGTTATGTATGATTACATTAGTGACTAATCGACTTGTACATGGTGTAGGGTTTTTGTTTGTCACTCTGCTGAGTCATTTCTCAGTATTGTAAATCTGTTAACCATTACTGCTTAATGAGCTGTGTATTTCTCAGTATTGTAAATCTGTTAACCATTACTGCTTAATGAGCTGTGTATGAGCGTAAAATCATTTTTACGGATTCCAGCATTGTCTTGCTTTTATGTTTGTCTTCCTACTGAGGGGAAGATAGACACTGATTGATAGACAACTGAGATGGACTCTGAGTTGGCGTGGGCTTCATGTTGTAGGTTGGCATTGGATTGGGCTTATTGTGAATAGGCTCATTTTTGATAAATACAATTCCATCACGATAACTTATAACTAAGTGATCTGAACTCTCTTCCTTTGGATTTTTTTTTAATTTCCAACCAAGGATGCCTTACTAACTTGCGAAGAAATTGAGAACGGAGCTAGAGATGGCAATCATGGATATGGACTATGAGTCTAACCCGTAAAGAACTGTTACAGGATGTTACTGGGATGAGGTTTTTTAGGCCCATAAATTTGCGGGCCTCGCAGAATTAGTTTTTTTGAGACTAGGTCTTTTGCGGGATGGGCTAAAATTGGTCTCGCCGGATTACAAGAACCCGTATTTTTTATTTTATTTTTTGTTTTACCTGAAAAAATGAGAGAATGAATGAGAAAAATACGATTCATGTGACTTCCCCTGAGAAAACGTAAGGACTCGGGTGATGATGATGATTCGAGCTTTAGTGATAATGCTTCAAGCTCCGGTGATGACAACTACAGCTCCTGTGATGACGATTCGAGCTTTAGTAGTGTTTTGATTTTGTTTCTCTTTTTATTTAATTTGAGATTGACACTTTTTATTTGGTGTTTCGTTTTATTTAATTTTTGGATTCAGCAAACTAAAATATTGGTTATGTACTTATGAGTTATAAGATAATAAAAAATATCTTTAGTAATTATTTTTATTTTGTATGTTAATATGTTTTGGGTGTGATACAAATAATTACAATTATTGTTTTGAATAAAAAATAAGCAAAACAATGATTGATGAATTATGTTCAGTTGAACCGACGACTTGAACTATGTCCTCCAATGACATGAAGCGTTTTGGAGTGGCATGAATCGTTCTGCTGTGCTTATTATCACATCTCCCGCGGGACGGCATGCGAAGGCCTACAAAAAATATGGTACGGGATTGGGCAGCTGTTTTCAAGACCACATTTTGCGCGGGATAGGCCCACCATGTCCCGCTAGAAGACAAGCCCGCAATGGTCCGGGACGGGAGAGCCCAATTGCCAACTCTAAACGGAGCCTTTGAGAACACTATAAGTCCCATAAACTTTGCTTATTCTTATTGTCATGCCTATACTTTAAACTTGACCGTTACATTTACATTGACATGAAGACAACCTCTCTCTCTCTCACACAATTTTTCAGGCAAAACAAACAAACAAAGGAGCAAAAACAATAATTACACGAAATGTTACTTCGTGATGCTGCTATTCACACATGACAAAAAGAGAGTATTTACATAGTTTCACACATGACAAACAGACATCGAAATTTGGATGCCTTCAACTCACACTCTTTTTACCAGAACCAAGGAAACTCAAAGAAGGGATTTTCTGCATAAGATTATTAACCACTTGAGAAGCCGAAGGTCTTAGAGATGGTGGGGTACTAATACAAAGTGCAGCCACACGCAGCATTGCTTTCACTTCATCGATATCAATACTATCTTTTAACAACCTCGGATCCAAAAAGCGTCTCACATTGTCTTCTGAAAGCTCTACACTAGAATCAAGAATCTCATTGAGAAGTGGAGCCGTTACATGCACCAGCATCTCGCCTCTCTCAGCAGAAAACGCTTCTTTTCCTGATACCAACTCAAGAACCACAACTCCAAACCCATACATATCCATCTTCTTGGAAGCAATTCCGGTTCTTAAGTAGTGAGGGTCCGTGTATCCCGGAGACCCCACCATGGTAACATGTCTGGATCTTGGTGACATCGTTGAAGGCTGAACCATTGAAGAGAACCCGACTTTAGCTGACCCGAAATCACAGAGCTTGGAGTTAAAGTTTTCGTCTAAAAGCACGTTGGAAGATTTGATGTCCCCGTGCACGATCTGAGGGATACATGTCTCGTGAATGTGTTCAATGGCTTGAACTAGCTGAAAAGCAATGGTAGTACGGTTCCTCCATGGTAAGACTTGTTTGCTGTTGCTGTGTAGCTTCTCCTGTAGGTTTCCTTGAGGAAGATATTCGAGAAGAAGAGCTCCATTTTCCTCTGAAACACGAACAAGAAGAACATTAACTTCATATGCAAAGATTCTAAAGACAGGCTTAACTGGTTTCAGAAGGCGCTTTACCTGAATCGTCGGAATAGCCGAGAAGCTTGACGATATTGGGATGGTGAAGACGGAGCAAGATATCAAGCTCGAGTTTGAAGATCTTGTAAAGGCGGTGGCTGCTAACGTGAACCTTGAGAGCAGCTTTGGCTGAGTTAGACAAGCGAGCCATGTAGATACTGCTGTACCCACCAGAGCCAATCAGTCTTGAGAAGTTGGAAGTGAGAGCCTCTACGTCATCCCAGCTGTAACGGGTGACGCCGCCGGCGGAGACGGCTAATGAACCTTCTTTGCTTGTGGGTTTGTCCGTGATCGTCGCCGTGACATCGAACCGGACGCAGTTCAAGAAACAAGCCATTGGAAACAGAGCAGCGAGTGAGAAACAGAGTAGATTTTCTGCGATTTGGATCGGAGAGTGAATATTATGTAGGTTTAGAGATTTGGAGTTAATGGGTTTGTTAGATTTGTAATAAAGAAGATGACTCTGGATCGGGAGGCAGAGTTTGACCGATTTTAAAATCTGCCATTTTTGAAGAATGTTGAAAGCTTCCTCTGAAGCAGACTTCTTGTGTTCTGAGACGTTCTAACTACTACTACTCTTCCTTCAACTTTTTCTAATCATTCTTTTTCTTTGCTTTTGGTTTTGGCTCTATACACCACATTTCTCACATTTTTTTTGCATTTTTGTAAATTTGTTTGCAGCGGAATGAGTAGAAAATCCACTAAACATTATTTAAACAAAAAAATGATAACATGACTTTTGAAAAATGATAACAAGAGATTAACCTAATTAAAACAAATATAATTTATTTATAACGATTTATATATTTATCATCTCTACATTCAGTTTAAACAAAAAAAAATGATAACATGACTTTTGAAAAATGATAACAAAACATTTACTTAATTACAACAAGTACAATTTCCTTATAAAATTTTATATTTTTGAGTTATTTTAAATATGGTAATTATTGACATGAAGGAATTACTGAGATAAAATAAGATGATCATTGGTGCGAGAGTGACCATGAAGAGCTTGACCAATGGTCAACCATAAATAAGATGGTTGGTACAAGCGTGACCATAGATTGTTGCGAGTGTGACCATGAAGAGCTTGACCAATGGTCAACCATAACTAAGATGACCATTGGTACAAGCGTGACCATGAAGGGCCTGACCATATGGTCCACTTCAAGTACAATGACCATTGGTGCAAAGTGTGACCATGACAGAAGGAGAGCGATGTTACAAGCTTGACCATATGGTCAACTCCAAATACGATGACCATGATGAAAAGTGACCATATGGGCAAATTCAAATTCTCTACTTCTGCTCTTCCCACGTGCATTTGACCGTTGTGAACCAACTTGTATTATTTTAATTATTTTTTATCTTNAAATACGATGACCATGATGAAAAGTGACCATATGGGCAAATTCAAATTCTCTACTTCTGCTCTTCCCACGTGCATTTGACCGTTGTGAACCAACTTGTATTATTTTAATTATTTTTTATCTTAGGCATACTTGCCTATTTATTTACTGTAATGCACAATGAGTTATTTTTAAGGAAAATAAAAAAAAATCCTTCCTACACTCTCTCTCTCTCCCTTACGGATCTAATCTTCTCCCTCTCTCTTGTTCTTCACACTTATTCTTCACTAAACTTACATGGTATCAGAGCTTGCAAGCTCTTGAGCCTATTCTACTTCCGCAAATCTCTGTTACTCACCCTATACTTCCATTCCCGCGGTTTACTTTCTTAAAATCTTTCAAGCTTCACCCTTTGGACCAATGGGTAATAAACCAACCAAACAAGAAGAAGATGGAGAAGATGGAGCATCAACAATATAAAACTATCATGATTCCGGCTACCCTAAAGGGAGCTAACTACATTACCTGGTCAAGATTGGCTAGGACCGCACTTGGAGGAAGAGGCTTATGGGGTCATGTCACTACAAGTGAGGCTCCAAAGCAAACCAACCAAGGAGCTGACGGCAAGGAGGTTGTAGGG